GAAACCCCCGATAAAGCAGCTATTATAAGAATAATATTAAAAAAACCCTCCGTCTGACGCAGTTAGGTAATAAACTAAATGTATCAAATTTCACTCCAACTTACTGTCAACTCAACGACGCGCTTTAAAATCAAAGCTTGACTTTGAATTATGCCTTATTTTACAATACACATTGAAAACAATATGAATTGCTTGAGCTTTTTCGACTTTTTCACAAAAATAACAAATAGGCATGAAGAGATTACAAAATTTCTGCAGCGACTGACAGTCAGGCCCGGTTGACTTTGTAGGCAGCACTGTGAATTTTATTAAGTGGGCTGCTAAATGTGTTCCCCGATCCAAAAAAATTCTAATAAGGATTTTCTCAAACGACAACACTTAAGTCATTTGTCAGTTTGTCGGTGATTAATTTGTCACAACTTTCAAAATAAAAAAACGGCTATTCAAAGATTTTCGTGTTAATCTTTATCTATTGTGATAATAATGTTTTATCATCCTGTTGGAGATATTGTCTAGTGTGATTGTGAGATACAGACTCAGTAGTGCTCTAGTAGGTATTTAAGTTTGGAGACAGTGACTTTTTATCTAGTGTTTTAGTTTATGTCACGAGACATCATATTTAATAAAGAGAATAATGTGTTTCTAATTGTTTGAGTATCATTTTCTTGATCATATTGACGGGCTTAGTTACCTCTGAAAAGTTTTTGCATTAATTAAAAATAATGGTAGAACATAAAATCAATGACATAATAATAATATTATGTCATTGATTTTATGTCATGATAATAACATAGCCTAAAATACGTAGCCTTAAGCACAGATTAAATACCGCCTTAGTACCAAAGTCACCAACTAGATGGCGTTAAGAAAAGTCCAGTTATTTTTCTATGGAGTCGCCGTTCTTCTCGTCAGAGTAAATATATTCTTTGCTGACAGTTCACTTGATTTACGTTGACAGGTGACAATAAAGCCATAGACATTTGCCATTTATGAAAGACACACTTTTCCAATATTTTTGTTTGCCATGAGATTCTGGTACACCTATCTATACCTATCATTTAATGAAAAGATAAACTAAATTTTTTCAGCACAACGAAAATCTGCTTTGGCACGTAGCAATGCAACGTGACAACTACAGTTCAGACTTCTTTATGCGTCCACTACACATAAAATAAAATTCGAACTATCGCACATTTTTTCTTTTTAATTCTAATTCAGTAAAAAATGTTTTTAAAGCCTGACCAGGAACATAAAAACCCTGGCATAGAGGCGCGTCAATTGCATTTGATAGTGCAACACTGAGTACAGTCGTACATGTGTTAAATTAATAGGCTAAATTTATGTATCAGGATTCAGGATTACGGGCTAATTTGATATTTTCATAAATTAACGAAAAAATATTACTAAAGGTAACCTGGTTTAAATAAATTAAATGAAACCATCAATCGAGCTAGTAGGATTTATTTTATTATTCATCAATAATCAAATTCAAAACTTAAATATTCGACTGCAATGTCTGCTCGTGAACGCTTCAAACTCGGTACTTCTTTCCCAATTCCATAAAATTCAAAACTTAGAAAGTGACAAAAAACTTTAAAATAGGTAGTTGAAACAAACTACAGCTAATTTTCATAGTGGACTGTACTATACGATAAACATGTCAGTCAATTTGACAACCTTTGTCGGGAACATTATTCAATGAAAATATTGTCCGAACCGTTATTATTTATCTTCGACAAATACATTAACACATTGTGAACCACTTTTCTTTCACGACTATAAAAATATTTTAGCAATTTAATTCACAAAATCAATTGCACACATTTAAAATAAAGTTTGTTTACACTTTGACAACAATAGACTGACATGCAAGGTGACATGTCAATGAAGTTTTCAGTTACTGTTGCCATTAAAAGAAATTAGTACCATTAGTTTTCCGCAACATGGCGAGGGTTTTTATGTTCCTGGTCAGGCTATATAACCTTTATTCAAAATTCAAAAGTTATTATCATATGACAGAACTTATGACCAGCCCCCTTAGACAAAACGCACTTTTTGATCGAATCGAAAATCGAATCCGTCAAAACTCCATACAAAAAAGGGGCTTTTCGACCACTTTGCGACTGGTTTGCGATTATAATTTGCACTTTGTCTAGACCCACTGACTATGGACAGTCACGGAATGAAAAGGTTCGTCAGTTTTCAAATTGATTCCTTCAACGAATCGCGAGCACATACTACCTTTTGAAACTATGTTACAGAATAATCTCGAGTTAGAGAAAATAATCTTTAAATGTTCGTCAGTAAAGTTCAAAATTATCCAGATCAAAGTTGTTTGACGATTTAACTTGTCAAGAAGATTATTATGATTGATAAACTAAAACCTTCTTGTTGGTTCAACCTGCCATTATCTATTAAATAAAAAAAACTACATTTTGTAACATTGCACTGATGGGATAGAAAAATAAACAAGCAAAACCTTATTTGTTAGCAAACGTCATATTTATTTAAATGTTAGCAGCACTGTTTCTTGCACGGTTATGTTGGCAGGTTTCCCTCTTACAGTACCTAGTGCAAGCGAAAACCGACACTAAGGTGACGAACCTTTTCATTCCGCGACTGTACATTGAATAAAATATTTTTCTTTTTATCATCAAGCTTAGCAGTCTAATAAGTTACTATGACACTCGAGTTAATCCACATTCAGCACCATAGCCTCCCCTTCTACAAGGCCCTCTACAAATGTCAAAACGTCACTTAACCCTTTTAGCACCAGTTCTTTTGTTTTTGAGAAGATGTACCCAAATTTTTATATCAATTTAATTATAGTCCAGTCGTTTGGTACAGATTAACGTGGTTACCTGGAAAGTGTTCCGTGAGTTTTGAAAATTGGTGAGTAATTAAATAGATTTCGCTATGCTCTCTGTTAGTCTGTTAGTTAAGTGTGATTGCCGCGCTCGTTGTGAAATTGGAAAAATGCTGCCTTAGATTTTTGATAGTTACATTCTTTCCTATTTATTTATTTATCGTCGTTACAGCCAAATGACGTCCACTGCTGGACAAAGGCGAGAGGCCTTTGGGTTTTCCATAGGTTTTTCATAATTAACAGTCCTGCGCTGCCCGCATTCAGGTTCTTCCCGCGACCTTTACCAGATCGTCGGTCCACCTAGTAGGAGGCCTGCCCACGCTACGTCTTCCAACCCGTGGTCGACACTCAAGAAATTTTCTGCCCCAATGGCCATCGTCTCTATGAGCTATGTGTCCCGCCCACTGCCACTTGATTTTAGCAATTCTGCGGATTTCTGCGTGCTATGTCGGTCACTTTGGTTCTCCTGCGGATCTCCTCATTTCTGATTCGATCACGTAGGGAAACCCCGAGCATAGCCCGCTCCATCACCCTTTGGGTGACCTTGACCCTTCTTATGAGGCCCATAGTAAGCGACCACGTTTCAGATCCTTAAACTTTCCTATTTATTTCACGACTAGCTTTTGCCTGCGGCTTCACCCGCGGAAAAGTGTCACAGATCGGCATAAATTATAGCCTATATGTTAAACTGGGTTACAAACAATAATATTGTACAGTTTCAACAAAATCCGTTGAGTACTTTTTGCGTGAAAGAGTAACAAACCTGAGACACAGGAATCTGTTATATTGGTGAGAAATAAACATCACTTTATTTTAAACTTCCAGACATCCAGACATCCAAACTTTCGCATTTATAATATTAGTAGGATACAATTATGTAATGTAGAAACAAACAAGACAAAAAAAATGTATACTTCAGCAACGCGAATTTTTTTATACTTCAGCATATTTAGGACACCCGGCAGCGTGTCCTGCCATGATCAAAGAAAAAAGAACTCGCAATTTAGCAGGTACATTAATTTGACTGTTTCACAACTTTAAATCTATTTAACTTACATTACATGAAATTTATCACATTTATCAAAGCTTCTTAACTTGTCTATGTCCCAAAAATTATAAAATGAAAAAAGTAGTTGTCAAAAACCTTTTTAAGGCGGTTTTTTTTCAATAAGGCGGGCGCGCGCGCGGCTATAAACGAGGTCACAAAATTCGGAAAGAACATAACGAAATCTATTTATTCACCAATTTTCAAAAATTCCGGAAAACTTTCCAAGTAAAATTAACAAATAACTGGACTATTTACTCGTTATTGAGCACAGAGACACAAACTTGGTTATTTTTCCAGAAAATTTATATTTAAGTGCATAAATGTAAAAATGGCTTCATAGTGCACAAAATTGGCAATAGGTGGCATAATAATGGTTACTTTTTTAGCGCCTAGTTTGAAATGTGATTGAACGATGACAACTAACAACAGTTGTCAGTTAGGTAAAATTTTATTTTAGTTGGAAAAAGACAAAAAGTGGTAAATGGGTTAACGTGCGGGGCTGCAAAATCATGTTGTGACGTCACGCGCGAATAATGGAAATTTTTGAAAATTTTAAAATGTCCGTAAACTTCTGGAGGCTATATCTTCGGTAATACTGGATGGATTGAGGTGAAATAAAAACTAGTGTAATGTGTGTGATCTAAACTTTAAATTAAGTCATAATTTAACTTAATATTACAACTTATGCGTGTTGTCCATTATAAAATATGATTGCATCATTCTTTATGCACTCATCACACCATGTATGTACCAAATATTGAGGACAGCTTATGAGCTTAATAATGTACCTAATAACTTTTCTTAGTCTTTTGCAGTCGGCACTAATCCCTAATTTGTAATATTCTATCATAATAACTAGTCTTCGTTTTATATTCAATAAATTGTTTCTTCACTCTTTGTACCACTGTTGCACGAACAACATCAAATATATTAATCAACTAATGTCTGGTGTTTTATCTACGTATCTCCTACGAAGAAGCTCTATCTACAACAACTAAAGTATCCAACTCAACACAACATGATTGACGGACTAAAAGTTTAAAGAAACTAGCATATTTATTAAAATGTTCCATTCTTGTGTTCCAGTTCCCATCGGTCCTACTGGTCGCCATGTCGATGTTCATGGCGAGCGCCACACTGCCTTCCCGCTACAGCAGCGAGGTGCTGATGTATTTGATGTTCTGGGGAGCGTGTGTGGGCGCAACACTCACGTTCATCTTCAAGTGAGTCCAGATATCATCCTACCCTACCTTGCTTTCAGCCAAATGATGTTTACAGGTTTACTGCGGGACAAAGACCGGTCCTGCGCTGCCCGCATCCAGGTTCTTCCAGCGACCTTCACCAGATCGTCGGTCCACCTAGTGGGAGGACTGCCAATGATTGTCACTCGAGAACTTTTATATCCCAACGGTACGGCCATCAGCTCTGCGAGCTGTGTGCCTGGCCCACTGCCACCACCCTACCATCTCGCTATTGCTGCGACCTTCACCAGATCGTCGAAAATAGATTTCAAAATAATATTAGGTTGACTGAACGTTGTATGTAACAATAAATCGAGCACAGTCATTTTACAATACCACCCATTTTTTTCGGTTTCAACCGCAAAACCGCAATCATTTTTAACCTTACGTCTCACAATTCAATTTCTATTAACATTAGGCTAAATTATTTCATGACAAACAATTTTGAACCAATACAATTCTTATACACAGACACGGCAAAGAGTTCTTCTCAACACTACCCTAATGTCTCATTATCATCAACATTCATCACTACTCTAAACAATCTCTTGATAGTCAATTTTGAACCTTATACCTCCTAACATAATTCAATCTTTCAGACACGGCAAAGAGTTCGTCAGACATTTTTACACTGCGCTGCTAGCCCCAAACTAAGCAAAGCTTGTACTATGGGTACTAGACAACGATATAAACATACTTAAATCATTTTTTTTAATACATATTATACATAGAAAACATCCAGACCCGTCACAGAAATTAAAATTCATAATTTCAATTTCTGCCCGGCCGGGAATCGAACCCGAGACCTCTCGGCATAGTAGTCCGTTCTGAACCACTACACCAAACGGCCAAATCTTAAAAGGAAACCAATTTTGAACCTTATGCCTAACACAATTCAATTTCTACAGGGTGTTAGGTAAATGGGTATATGAGCCGACACTAGCCCATGTTAACATAGTCATATAAATGGTATGGTGAAGTCAGAAAATTGATATCTTCATTTTAATTATTTAATTTTTCATACAAATCGATTTTATCAAATTTATTTTGTATGAAAATTAAAAAAATTAAAATGATGATATCAAATTTCTGACTTCACCATACCATTTATATGCCCATGTTAACATGGGCTAGTGTCGGCTCATATACCCATTTACCTAACACCCTGTATTTACAATACTAGCCTAAATGATTTCATGCCATTCAATTTTGAACCATACACCTAACGTATTAACTCTCACTTTCAGACACGGCAAAGAATTCGTCGACTGGCCGCGTTTGGACGCGGGCGGTCTCGCCGCGTCTCGCTCGCTGCCGCCGCCGTCGTTATGATCCGCGAGTGCCCGCTCGTAGTCGTCGTCTGACCCCGCCCCTACCCTGCCCCCCGCCCGTCTGCCGCCGTGACGAAACACGCGAGAAAGGGCACACATTCACCGAGATTGGTCATGAGGGCTATCGTTTTTAACTTAACAGTTGGCACCCCTGGCCATTGACAGGACCTTACTCTACAGTGGCGCCATCTTGATGAGTGCAAATGCGATAGTCCTCCTACCACTTTCGCGCTCACCAGTTGGTGCCACTGTCTTCTCTACTAGCAAGTGACAGGACCTTACTCTACAGTGGCGCTAACTGGTGAGCGCTAAAACGATAGCCCTCATTGATTTTGATTCAGAGTTCTTTAGAGTCGTCCAATCGCAATAAGTTAATTGCTTGTGTTACGAGTGCGCTCACCATGAGGCCCGATTTCCACCAAAGCGGTGCAGAAAAGTGTCTAAAATAACCAATCTGAGGTGGAATTGTGTAAAGCAATCGTTACCATTTGTCAGTTCATAATGTACAATAAAGTCAGTTAAACAAAGCGTTTGACAGAATAATTACACCTCAGATTTCATTATTTCCACTTCTCGTCCGCTCCGCACCACCCCGGTCTAATTCTTTTGAAACATATGACGATCCAACACTTCTCCGCTCCGCTCCGCTCTACGCGGGCGGTCTCGCCGTCGTTATGATCCGCGAGTGCCCGCTCGTAGTCGTCGTCTGACCCCGCCCCCGCCCGCCCCGCCCCCTCCAGCCGGGACGAAACACATGAGGAACGGCACACATTCACCGTGACTAGTTAAAGCCCGGTCTGTGAGCGCGTAGAATTTTGTCCAATGACCCCAAGCTACCCATCCTTATCGCTCGCGCGTAATATTGCTGTCGCGACTGTGCGACGGGCGCCCGCAGTGAGTGTGCGAGCGCGACAGCTACATAATTACGCGCGAGCGATAAGGATGGGTAGCTTGGGGTGACGAAGCACGCGCTTGTACACACGAGAAAGGGCACACATTAACGTGATTGGTTCATTGATTTTGATTCCACATTTACCGTGATTGGACAATGAGGGTTTTCGCGAATGAAAGATCCGCTAGATGGCGGGACGTGGATGTGGGGTCTGACTGCTGCGTGATTGGTGGATTTTGACATATCTGTCAATGTCATGTCAAAAATAACCAACCATGCAGCATTTGGACCTCGCGTCTACGTATCTCGCGGATTTTTAAATCGCGAAAACCCTCATTGATTTCGATTCAGAGTTCTTTAGAGTCGTCCAATCGCAATAAGTTAAATATGCTTGTGTTACGAGTGCGCTCACCATGAGCAGAGTAAATACAAATGAGTAGGTTATTTTCATAGAAACGCACCGAGCGCGGTTTGTATGTGAGCGCACCAAAACGTATGCGGCGCGCACGCACACACTGACAAAATTCGGCGCAACTCTCAGCTAATCCACGCTAAATTTTGTCAGTGTGTGCGTGCGCGCCGCATACGTTTTGGCACGCTCACATACAAACCACGCTCGGTGCGTTTCTATGAAGATAGCCTACTCATTTGTATTTACTCTGCCATGAGGCCCGATCTCCACCAAAGCGGAGCAGAAAAGTGTGTTAACCAATCAGATTTCATTATTTCCACTTCTCGTCCGCGCCGCACCGCCGCCGCGGTCTAATGAGGGCTATCGTTTTAGCGCTCACCAGTTAGCGCCACTGTAGAGTAAGGTCCTGTCACTTGCTAGTCGCGAAGACAGTGGCACCAACTTGTGAACGCTAAAGTGGTAGGAGGACTATCGCATTTGCACTCATTAAGATGGCGCCACTGTAGAGTGAGGTCCTGTCACTTGCTAGTAGCGAAGACAGTGGCACCAACTTGTAAGCGCTAAAGTGGTAGGAGGACTATCGCATTTGCACTTATTAAGATGGCGCCACTGTAGAGTGAGGTCCTGTCAATCGCCAGGGGTGCCAACTGTTAAGTATAAAAACGATAGCCCTAGTTCTATTGAAAAATTTGACGATCCAACACTTCTCCGCTCCGCTCCGCTTTGGTGGAAACTAGGCCTAAGCCGAGTCAAGCGGCGGCGGCGATCGGACCCGCGTTCCTCGGATCACGAGTCGACCAGTCCGACCGTCACCGTTTGACTATTCTCACTTCTTTTGAACTCTAAAAGGTTTAAACTCAACACTTTTTTTTACATTAGCATTCACAGGACAGAATCGCGATTAAAATGGCTAAGGGCTGATTTTTCAATCGTCGGATAACTTTTATCTGAAGAATAAATTTGGCACATTGACAGATACAGTACCTATGGGAAATATTATGTCAAAATGACAAGTTTATTCTTCAGTTAAAAGTTAACTGACGAGTGAAAAATCAGCCCTAAAATATACATCTTTATCAAAGAGTAAATGGCATAGCCAGTATAAATCGTTACATTTTTATGTTTCTCGACTCTTGTCATTGATTTTTGTTGGAAAAGTTTCTGACATTGAGATTTCGATAGTATCACATGAATTTTTCGTTATTTTTTTCTTAGTTACACAACAAATTGTTTTGTGATCAACTAATAGAAGTTTAGTTCTGCGTGCCACCTACAAAAAGTTAAAATTGCCACCATGCGTTTTGTTCCTAATATTAAATTCGCGGTCGACACAGATCAACTTGGCACTAATTTCCATATAATCGCAATTTACTGTGAATTTTGTATCAAAACCACAAAGTTCACAATTGAATGTGGTAATTTGTTATTTTTTGCCAGGTTCGGCTGTCGACTGTTCATTATTTTAGCACTAATGTACGACTAAAGTTCAAATATGGTTGAAATTGATATTAAAATATAAGATATATTTTTCTGACCATAGTGTACGGATTCTCGCTTAAGGAATTAGACGTTTTAAAGATAACAATAAACAGTTTCATAAGAGCTGGCATAAGGGAATTAATTGTTTTTATGTTATTTAGTTAGGAAATTAATTCTGTGTAGGCGTGTGTTTCAAAGAGGAGGAGTGTAGTCAAAATCCTCCATTTGTCTCTGGTTAAATTGGAGGGATAAAGCAGCTATTCTAGTCCGTTTTCCCCGGATCACTAGTCGGCCAGTCCGACCCCTTCACCGTTCGGCTAACGTGGCTTCAAAATGCGTAAAGTATCACTGTGACCGGTTTCGATATATTGAGGTAATTCCCTTCTTGCCGGATCTTTATAATTAACGGTAATGTGTGTCTTTCCAATATTCTTTCCAAATACATATTTTATTATTATTGCGCACCGCGTTGTAACGAATTTTCTTATACTGATTAGATTTTTTACCATAACGTTGTTGTGTTGTATTGTATGATATGCGATATGTTTTGACTTGGCATTGTTTAAAGGATTGCTATATCAGCTGATAATGAAGACTTTAATTTTTCGGCATTTTAACCACTTATTTGATTGTACCAGACATTGTGATTGTTACAGAAGAATTAGAAGAATAATTAAATATTTTTGACAACTGGCAAGTAACAGTTAAAAATATTATGAGCTATGGCAACACTTTAGATATTAGGCATTCCATTTTGCTGACGCTGTATCGGATATCGGTGTTGTTATTGAAATCTTAATTGAATGAGTGAATGATACACTTTAGTTCATTCGTTCAGTCCATTCGTTTCAATATACGACCGTTGACTCTATGATATTGGTTGTTATAATGAACAATACCCCTTTAATTAGGGAATATATTATAATTATTTGTATTTTGCCTGTGCTATGAGTGGGTATGTGCAAGGGCTAAGGGTGCGTGCTATCACACTATCATTTTTATTTGTTAACCGACTTAAAAAAGGAGGTTTTCATTTCGCCGTTTTTTGTAATGTATTAGAATGCTAGCGAATAACCATTGCCAAACTAGTGTTGATGTCCAAAGATGTTGATTTCGTTTGTTAAGTAATTTACTCGACTAAAATCAAACGTTAGAGACGTATTTTTGAACATATTAGTACCTATTTCAAATTTTCATACAAAATACCAAATATCATCTTTTTGTGGTCGCATGCGAGTTTGAATTCTATTGTTTCAAAAATATGGCTCTATTTTAATAATTGGCCGAGTGTGATTTTGTGATTTATTCGAAGCGTTATTGGCATGGTGGATTAGTAGTTTTTAAAATTAATTCCAAGATTGATCTTTCCCTATTTTTAATATTACGAGTACTTTGTTCCATGTTGCACAATAATGTTTTGTTTGTGCACTGTTTCACCTTTAGTAATAAATTATCAAATAAAACCGAACTTCAAAATGTCATTCAACGAACTAAAAAATAATAATCGTCCTTTATATTTCTACGACAAAAACTAAATCTAGATCTAATAGGTCAGCGGGGCTTGGATGCGCGCCATGATAAAATCCTATCGACGATTTTAGACGACAAATGTATGGGCTTATCGTGCATATCGATGAAAGGTTATCGTGGCGCGCATCCTAGCCCCACTGCAATGGTGTGATACGTATGAGCGGGATAGACGACGAAGCGACGGGTGTTATGTAATGTAGAAACAACGCTGCGAAATTAAATATTCTAAACTATTCTATTAGTGTTGTATACCGAAAATCCACTATCGATAGATTTTTAATAAAGGAAAATCTAATAGTATCGATACCTACTATTAATAGTTTTACGTCCTGTATCGATAGTATCGATATTATTGTGAATTCTAAAGCAGTAACCGAAAAAAATCGATAATGAAACTATGGTTTGTCGGCCGTTTTGTGTAGTGGTTCAGAACGGACTACTATGCCGAGAGGTCCCGGGTTCGATTCCCGGCCGGGCAGAAATTGAAATGATGAATTTTAATTTCTGTGACGGGTCTGGGTGTGACTATGTATAATATTTATGTATTTAAAAAAAAATGTATATACCTAAGTAGTATATCCGTTAAGCTAGCACCCATAACACAAGCATTAAGTTGCTTACTTTGGGGCTAGCTGGCGCTGTGTGAAATTGTCCACAGATTTATTTATTTATTTATTTATGGTTGATGGTTCATTAATGTTTCATTTTTACAGTTCACTTTGACAGTCTATGGCTACCCATAGACGAAATATCTTAGACGAAAACTTGTGGCTTCAGAAAGTCCTTTTTAATTTACAAAATATACAACAAAAGTGTTATATACAGGGTGTCCCGTAATGCAACGTCAAGCCGGAACTGGGTGTTGAGGCAAGTTATGCTGGTTATCAGAAAAAAAAAATGTATGTGGAATTTTGTCAAAATAAACAAAAAAAATTACTCCCGGTGACGGTCTTTTTACTCGTGTTGCCACAAATCTTCACTTTTTCCAATTTTTTTTTTGTTATGTAACCCTGAATAATGCTTCTCTAAATTGTTATCAAAATTACAAAACCAGCTGCTCCAGCTTGGATGAAAAAAATACATTAATCCCAAAAAAAAATTCAAAATAAAAATTTTGCCTAGTTTAAACTGACTGTACTGAAAAAAAAAATGTACTACGCGAGTGTGGCAAGTGACATCATAATTTGGCGCATTTAGTAAGGATTCCAAAATGGTATAACACTTGGTAAATTCTTGCTGTAATTGTCGACAATTTTTGTTTTTTTGGAAATAATTCCGTTTTTAACTTTATCTACCATGGTTAAAAATTATTATTTTAATGTGCCCAAAATTCAAGTTTCTGGCTTAAGTGAGGTGGAGAAGCCATTTTAAAAGGTATGAGTGGGACGGAGAGGGCCATCTTACCAAGCAGGGATGTTATGGATATCCGTAACCGTAACCGAAACTATCGGATATCCGAAATAAAAAAATATCCATAACCGTAACCGAAACTGATTCAAAAGTTACGGATAGTTTCGGATAAAGGCGGAGTCTTAAGGGCACAATTCCAAACTGCAAAACTCTATGAAATCTGCAGTATACACGCCGGCTGCAATGCCGCGCTGCCGATTTCATAGAGTTTTGCAGTTTGCGGTCTGCGGCACGTCTTGGAAATTGTACCTTAAATCTTAATATTTGTTACAACTTGTCTGGCATTCCCTGGCACCATCTAATATGCCAGCCTGTTTTACCTTTATCATACATAGGTGTCGTCTTAGTTGGTACATAAAGTAGCTATGTGGGTCACGCATTCTAATAATTCCGTAACCGAAATTATCCGAAACTTTCGGATAATCTGAAATGATTTCATATCCGTGACCGTAACCGAAACCGGTATAATATTATTCTAATATCCGTAACCGTATCCATAACCGAAACTTCATATCCTTATTATCCCTGTTACCAAGTACAAGTGCAGGCAGAGCAGCTAGTAAACGCACTTTTGTCACAGTATGTCAACTACTAATTACTGTCATGGTGACAAAAGTTTCTGTGACTGATTGTACGGTAGTCAGTCACAGAAACTTGAATTTTGGGCACATTAGAATAATAATTTTTAACCAAGGTAGATAAAGTTAAAAACGGGATTATTTCCAAAAAAACAAAAATTGTCGACAATTACAGCAAGAATTTACCAAGTGTTATACCATTTTGAAATCCTTACTAAATGCGCCAAATTATGACGTCACTTGCCACACTCGCGTAGTACAATTTTTTTTTCAGTACAGTCAGTTTAAACTAGGCAAAATTTTTATTTTGAATTTTTTTTTGGGAATAATGTATTTTTTTCATCCAAGCTGGAGCAGCTGGTTTTGTAATTTTGATAACAATTTAGAGAATCATTATTCAGGGTTACATAACAAAAAAAAAATTGGAAAAAGTGAAGATTTGTGGCAACACGAGTAAAAAGACCGTCACCGGGAGTAAATTTTTTTGTTTTTTTTTTATTGCCTATTATTTTGACAAAATGCCACATTGATTTTTTTTTATATTTTTCTGATAACCAGCATAACTTGCCTCAACACCCAGTTCCGGCTTGACGTTACATTACGGGACACCCTGTATAAATAAATAAGAATATTATAAAAGAGGTCCAAGCATTAACGTTGTATGTAATAATAACATCTAACATTGTATACGTATCTTATGTACCTGACTGTAGTTCCAGTTAATAATTTCATTTCCCACGTCAATGATTATAAGAAAAGAAAAAAAAAGTTTTATTAACTGGGACATTTTTATATTATATTTCATCAATAACTTATTCTGTGTATAATATTTCATGATCTAAATAAATAAATACAAACTAACACTGCTGGCTATGTAAAATAATTACAGTATTTAGTGCTGCTATTTGTATATAGGTAACTTTTTATTAATAATTTATTTCGCAGTGTTGTTTCCAACAAATGTTTTAATATTGTTATAATAATGTGTTTTTTTTCTTGTGATTATTATGTAACTTAATTTAAATAATTATAATTTTGAAGGATTTTAAACTATTAAACTGTCAATCAAAGTTATTTTTTGTTTCATTTAATTTTAAATGTTAGTGTTACCCTAAGGTGTTACCAAGTACGATGTGTAATATGCGTCAGAGGTCAGTGTACCTACAAACTTTAGACTACATGGGTAAGTAATTTAAATACGAGTGCATACTGCCATACTGTGGTCATACTTCCTATTTTGGCTTTTGGTTTGGAGATGAAATGATGAAAAAAAGATTCAACAAATCATTTCTGGCTAATAGTCAACATGCCATGGCTAAATCAAAAGTTATTTTTATACAGAAGTAAGAAGCACTATAATACAGCCGTGCGTTATTGTATAATAAGTATTATTTTTGTAGCAAGAGTATTTTTAGAAAAGTATTGGAAAAGATTTTCCTTTTGCTATTAATCGTCTCTGTTTCCGAACGAGTCCTATCGATTTTGTCATTTCTGTCGAACTGTCAAGTGGACAGAGTACGTTCTAAAACCATGTATTTTTACCAGCTACAAAAATAATGTTTTGTGCTTCTCAGCCAAACAGGTTCTTGAAATATCTAAAAATATTAATAATATGACTAATTACATGTAATTAATTACGCTAATCGATTTTTAATAATGATTATGCACTAACATCGCGTAAAAGTCAGAAGTTCTTTCGTAGTAAAATTCTTTGTTGATTGTTCAATATAGTTTTCGAACGTACTTTCCAGCTGTCGTTCGCTCAAGGAAAACGCGAAACACTTGTGTTTGCAAATTTATTTACCGTTCGATTATCAGCACTTATCGTCGTGTCGTGAATAAAGCTGCTCATAAAAACTGGAGTTCTTGAAAGTGCGTTTGTGTATCGATGTGATGTCGTACATTAAATTGTAGATTTGTGCAAATTATCATGCGTGGAAAGTGTTGAGTTGTTTGTGTTGAAAAATTTTGCGAGACAGGCGCCAGAATGTCTGATGAACTTGAAGCCAGGATGTGGGATGATGGGGGCTCCAGGTACGAGTCAGCGAGTCGGGGAGCGTTCTTCGAGTCGGCCTTCGCCTCTTCAGAACACTTGGACAGAGCGCCTTTGTTATCAGAAGTAAGTTCGTAGTTTTTATGTCTTTCTTTATGGTTTTCATGGGAATTGGTGCTTAAATAATATTTATTACGCTCGTGTGTAAGTAATTTATTAGTCGAATATGAAGTTATTCTTCAAAAGTCTGGTATTTTCAAGTTGGTCATGAATAATGTGCACTGTTATGTGCTTTCCTCCATTACAAAAAGGTTCACTTTACTTTGTTACTTCATCAGTCATCACTAATTGGAATTTAATGGATATTATGTACTGAAATGATTGATTATAAAAAATATTTTAATAATCTCCCAAATATAATGGAGCTGTTGAAAAACATTTAATTTATGTAACACTTTAATATTTTTATTACATTATTATTTATTGTTTTTTAGATAGATAGATAGATAACATTTATTTCCAAGAATATGGTACAAGAATTTATTAACTTAATATTCTTAATAATCAGTAATGTTTCTAAAAATCTATTAGTCTCAGTACTAAAACTTCTGGATATACTTAAAATAACATTTATTGGGCTTATCAAGATAAGATTATAGTCAAATTGTGATAACTGCATTATCAACATTGTAAAATTTTTACTAGATTCCGTGCCTTATTGAAATGTATGAACACGTAGATAAATCGGAAGCTATCAAATAGCTAATAAAAGGCTAAATCTAGATAAAGAATGGACCTTAGTTATGGCTGGGATTAGTTTTGTTTCAAAGTAGCTAGGGACTTTGAAATTATAAATCTTTGAAATCAATTAACCCTTCAAGCCCCAAAAATCAAGAAACAATTACACGGTCATATTATGTGATCACTGGGTTTGATAGGTTAATACTAAACTATGGTGCCTGATAATACTTGCATACTTGTGTATGCTCCTAGTCGGTAACAATACCACTGTAATATCATTTATTGTTTAGACTTTAACATGTACTAGTCTCTCTAAATAAGACCCAGGATGTGCTGTTTGAACATTTAAAAAATTTTTTACTAGTTAGCATCTCAGTGGAATTTATTTCTTTGTAACGATTTTTTGCAGATTTGTCCTTGAACCAGTATTAGTCACAGTTAAGAGGCTAGGGTCACTCAGCTGAAAAACAATTCTAGAAACCGTAATTCATAGCATTGCGTATTTGATAAACATATATAAAAGTAGAATCACATAGTTAATATTTGGTTTGAGATAGCATTTCCCGCTGCCTGTTATCTTGCTCCCAGTTAAATAAAAAACCAAACCACAGTGTAGGTACATAAAGTAGATGTGGCATAGCATATCATAATATGGCAGAGGCTAGAGGTTAAAACACACAGGTTCTAACCGTACATTACACAAACATTTATGAGTTCTAGCTTGTCTGTATTCACAAAAAAATTATAATTAAAAACCTATTGTGTATAAATATCTGTTACTAGTTTATCACAGGCTTTTCTTAGTTTAAGACTATATGTTGTTTTTAATAAATAGTTTTGGTCGCGAATTCCCGCGCGCGTCATTTTAAAATCTTAAACGCGAACGAAGTCGAGCGATGTAGATAGTTAAGTAATTAATTCCAAAACTAAATGTTTAAAGTTTTTAGAGATCCTACTGCTTTATGTTTATTGTGTCAAAAAATGTAGATAAGATTGTCGCTCTTATGCTGGTAGACAACGCAATGTCCTGTTTTACCAACAAAATTTGCCTGTGGCTGGTTAATTGGGCATAATAATTTCCAATGAACCAAAAAATCGAAATAACGATCCTTACGTTACGAAATTGTTATTTTTCGGGAGTTGGGACGTCCTTATGATGAGGAGGACATTACGTTCAGGGTGTCCCTTTACCGTAGAATACATAAAAGGACCTATCTGTAAAACCTGCATTGTATTGAGAGCGAGTTTTTAAATCTTATGCGATGTGAACCCGTCCGTACTAAATACCCTAGAAAAAATAACAATAAGTACGGTAAATCTTATGCGCGCACTCTTAGATAAATAAATAAACGCCATGTTAGGATGAAAATGCGTCATCATTGCGTCAGTCTTAACGAGTTTCCAAATTCTGGTAACTAAACGATTCATCATTTTATAAGATTAAACGTGATTGGTTAGCACACATACTTTGGTTATAAATAACCACGCCAAATGCATCAAGTTTGTAATACGGTGTTCGCAAGGGTGAAGTGGCAATAGCCCAGTGCCAACGGTGTCGTTTTCGGACTGGCTAGGTCCGAGGAACGCGGGTTCGATCGTTGCCCTATTAGAACCCCGTGGTTCTATGGTATTATGGTATAGGTATTTTTTTTTATCCACAACGAGGAAGCTCTTGGCCTGTATCTCACCTGATGGTAAGTGGCGATCAGGCCGAAGGTGGGAACGAGCTTCATCCGGAATCCTCAACCACGGAGGAACTGGCTATCTTACCTCTAACTGCCGGAACACAACAATGCTGTTAACATTGTTGTTATGGCGACAGACTTAGGTAAGATGGTGGTAGCTAGCCAGGCGGACTTAGAACAAGCCCTACCACCAACCAAACCGAACAGAAAAATCTGCCCCCACTGGGAATCGAACCCGGGACCTCTGCGTCTGAAGCAGGTGGTCTTAGCACTAGACCACAGAAGCGTTATGTATAGGTATTATGGTGAACCCACTCGAAACACAAGCATTTAGCTTACCACGAGTGGTGTGACATTCAAACATGGTTAATGAACCTGCCTCCCCAGTCCCCTGTTTTTGTCTACCTGCGTAATCCACGTAATGAGATACAATTAGTTCTCTAACTAACCATACCTTTTACAACATCGTGAATCGTGATAGTAACGGTTGCCATTCACGGTTAAATGGATTCAAAATTGATTTCGCTAATAGGCTTATAAAATATTACCTACTTAGTCTCTAAGAATTAGAGATATCCTACTTCCTTTCTATACTGAAATAATTCCACTGAATCGGGTATAGAGACGACGACATCGTAAAGGTAGCAGGAAGGGTCTATTCCATTTTTCTCACCTGGCTTTGATGACCCAGGTGATCAAAGTCCACTTCCAGCGACAATTTAGTGTCCTTTGATCACCCACGGATACGATGCCCTGGGTGATCAAAGTGGACTCCGATTAAATTATTATTTTAGTGTCCTTTGATCACCTACATACAAATCACATCTCCTCTGAATAGACACGTCATGTCCAATCGTTGTAAGTACAAACATTTTCTTAATATAGTCAATTTTTTTTACAGCATGAAATACTTTAAAGCGTTACTTACCTTAACAATGTTTGTCCGTACATTAAGTATAAGAGGAAGTGTAATTTGTAGGTAGGTGATCAAAGGACACTAAAATAATAATTTAACTGGGGTCCACTTTGATCACCCAGGGCATCGTATCCGTAGGTGATCAAAGGACACTAAATTGTCGCTGAAAGTGGACTTTGATCACCTGGGTCATCAAAGCCAGGTGATCAAAGTGGAATAGACCGCAGGAAGGCGCGGGATGCAGGCCGCTACCAACCGGGCAACATGGAAAGCATTGGGGGAGGCCTATGTTCAGCAGTGGACGTCCTATGGCTGAGATGATGATTATGATCGGTATAGAGATAGATCCGAGTCCTGGGAAAGATCATAATTGAAACGTCATAATTTTTATCCCGGTTTTTGAAACGAACGCACGCGATCGAAGCGCGCGATAAAAAAATTCTGTGACAAACCAAATTACACGCGGGCGAAGCCTCCGGCATTTAGAGCTAGTCTATTGGTCGTATTGACTGTTGTGGTAGCTGTGGTTTTTGTTTGTGATATAATGTTACATCATGGCTACTGATGAAAATAAGTTCCTCAATAAGGAAAACATGGCTACTACATAATTATCTTTTTTATTATTTATCCTACTATACGATTCAATCAAGTTTCTACATCAGCTTGCGTAAAGTTCCGATAATAAAGAACTATAAATAAAAATATAAAATTAAATTATTAAGCATAAACATTAATAAGAAAGACTACTTAACCCGGTGAACTTCGTACCGCCTGTATTCATCAGAAACAATGTAAGATTAGAATGGTGAAAGATTTTTGTTTTGATGTGTACAGTAATTGCCTCTTTATAATATTAGATTATGTAGTCAAAATCAAATGGGCTTTAAAAATTGCAGCTGCTTGAAATAGCAGACCTACAAACTAATCAAAACAATGCAAATCATCGTCAAGCGGAAAACTTCGCCATACCCCGCGAATAGGCGCCTTAACGATGTCGCCAATTTGTTCCGCTACCTTCCAGCAAAATTATCATTCAAGTTTTTGCTTTACTGCAGCGATATTGTTAGTTTGATCAAAGAGACTTGACAACGAGCCAGCATGGGACGGGTGAGTGTAGTTACGTAAATGCTATGTTCTCGATTCGTTTTGAAGGGGCGCCAATGCAACATGTCTGAAAGCGCGATAACATTACATTGTATTTGTCGATGCAGTTTTGTCGTTTACGTCACGGATCTTGAAGAAGAATGTTTAGTGTCATATCAGTCACAAGACGTAGGTAGTTACAATAAGTAAATAATGTATTTATTGTAACGATGATAAAAAACGAGAGGCAAAGCTATCCGGTGTCATCATTTTTTTATATGCACATAACACACTACCTTTTGCCCGCGGCTTCACCCGCGTGAAATTTTGTTTGTCACAGATCGTCATAAAGTATAGCCTTTAAGTTAGTCTGGGTTATAAACTATGATACTGCAAAGTTTTATCAAAATCCGCTAAGTAGTTTTTGCGTGAAAGAGTAACAAACATGTTAACATCTAGACATCCATACAAATTATCGCAATAATATTAGTAGGATAACGTTACACTTAAAAAAAAAAAATATTTAACACATTTTTGATTAAGACCTACTAATTGTCACTACCCAACTTTGTATAACTTTGACTAGTTGGTAATTTCTCAGTACCACAATGGCTTTGCAAATTATTCTTTCTTTCTACAAGGATTACAAGCAAGGACAAGGACTGGGTCAGCTAGTGTATGAATTACAACCGCACAACAAC